CAGGGCTTCGGGTGTAGTCTGGGCTGGCTGAAGCCTCTTCCCTTGTGCTGTGCTGACGTTACGCGTGGGATCTGCGGGGGCATCTTTGAGGGACCTTTGTGAAAGGCCACAAACTGCTGCTCTGAGAAGAAGGTGTGACTTTGGATTTTTTTTTTTTTCACAGTAGCCCACCAGCTTGTGTGTCTTGAGGTTTTCAGCCTGCTGCCTGGGAGAGGTGACTTTTCAGTGGGGTTAATAAGCATGCTTACTAGCATTGCCATCTGTTGTAGTTGCTTAGCCTGTGTTACATACGCATGCAAGGCCGACCTGTAGAATACATCCCAGCTCTTCCACTCCTTAGCTGGCTGGCAGTGTGGGCTGCCTTAGCGCGAATTTGTCCCAGAGTAGCTCACACCAGGCACAGGGTCATCCCGTTCCGCACTTGTTTGCGGTTTCCAGGAGAGAGGAGTCCACGGCACATAGAGCTAGAGGAAAAAGGGGTCGAAATCCACTGCGCACCTGGCTGCAGGCAACCGAGTTAAATTTAGTACAGCATATCCGTAAGCTCTGCTTTCACGACAACATGGTGGCAATAAGGTGTTTCCCAGGATGCCTAAGGTAGTGATGTCTGGTAAAGACCTTGCTCACAGCAGGCTCGCCCGAAGCAGGTGTATGGCTTGCAGCTAATTGAAGATAACACTGGGCGAGTAGTGTGCTCGCCGGTGCGCTCTGTTCTCTGCGGTCGTGTGAAATTAGAAAGGGAATAGGTTTGCATTGGATGAGTAGGGTGAAAGAGGCCAGGTAATTTGTTTCAGCAGCCGGTGCTGCTATGAGTACAGGTGATGGTATGATACTGTGGTGACACTTCTATAGTGCAGATTTTCTTCAGACCTTGTCAGGAGTGCAATTTTTTATAAAATACTAGCGCAGACAAGTTTCTGCCACTCACTGCACGTTCTGTTCCCCTCCTCCCTCCAAGTAATGGCTCACCCAACACCAGCAACGATAAGAGTTGAAAGAGCCTCAATCTGCAATGCTGAAAGTTACATTTTTTTATCTTCTCATGCACTGCGGGAGCAAACTCCGCTAGGTCATGTCCTGAGTAGGAGAGATAAGGCAGCATTTAATGTCAAATAGTTGTCACTAGTCTGGAAATCCAGAAATCCTGTGTATTCTCTATTTAAATCTTTAAGCAAGCAGGTAACATTTTTATTTTGGTGCGGTTTTTTTTTTTTAAGTATGGCTTGCAGTTTCCCTGCAAAACTAGTCTCTGAACTGGAGAGAAACTGAATTACGCACTTAAGTGTAGCTGTTTCTGAATGTCATGTTAGTGCTCAGCTTGTGGGAACTCTGTGCTGCCTGCCTCCAGGAAATAGTCCCTGTTTATTAAAACAAGCCTGTGATTAAGTCACAGTCCGTAGAGGTTCATGCTGCGCTTGGCACTTACGCTTCCTCTCTGTCTCCCCCTGACCCATCCCTCTTACTGTCAGGGCTGCTGCTGCGGAAATGGGGGAGTACGGAGTCACGCCAGGCCAGCGCGTGGCCATCGTCTGGGACAGCTCCTCACCTGTCGAAGCCCTGAAGGATTTGGTGGATAAAATTCAGGCACTGGTGGGAGCTGATAATCGTGTTGCTGTGGAAAACATTAACCAGTTGTCTCAGTGTAAGAATGAGCTTAATTTTTCCCTGTTTCATTTAGAGGGAGAAGGTGCTTCTGTTGTGTGAGCTGGCATCTGGCCTGGTTTGTAAGTCAGCATTTGGAACAACAATATGGCTAACTCTTACCACTGGCAGTACAGCAAAGAAAGTGAGATAGCCTGGTCATACTTCCTGTGACCAGTGTCTTTAATCACTTCTCTCTGTTGTACGCAAGCGTGAGAGGTGAGGAGGGAGGTGGAACTGATGTGTTAAGCAAAGCTCTGTGTGTACACGTGTAAAATTGTACCATCTTCCTCTCTCTTTTCAGCGGCTCACAGGGAGTCCAGCTTCGACGTAATTCTCTCTGGCGTGGTACCAGGCAGTGCAGCGCAGCACAGTGCAGAGGTACTGGCAGAAATAGCTCGGATACTTAAGCCGGGGGGCCGGGTCCCGGTGAAAGAACCGGTGGGTACAGAATCAGGGGACAATCCACATCAGCCTTGCCTTCATGTCAGCTTCGCAATTCTGGTGAGGATTAGGCTGAAATGGAAAGGACGGGAGCTCTGACCGATGTTCATTCTCCTGACACAGTAAGCTGACTAGCAAGGGGTTTTATCCTGCCTTTCAGCTGGTAGCCATCAGAGGCATTTGCAGTCGCTCTCTGGTCAAAAGTGCTGCACAGGCTCGTTCCTAAACTATGTGGAAAAGCTGAGTGGATACTGGTCTTCTAGGGTGTGTGATGTTAAATAGTTGCAGGTGTTGTGTTTCTGAGCAGCTCCTGAAGGGATTGTAAAAACAGCTGACGAATGCTGAGAGAAGCTGTCCCAGAAGCCAGCTGAGAAATAGGTATCCAGAAAATGTAGAAGTGTTTGAGTTTAAAGAGTAAAGCTGGAGCATGAGCCATGGGACAGCTGTAGAAACACAGAAGGAGGTGAACACGAGATGATTTCTCTGTCTTGTACCTGACCTGCACTCAAACCTTGCTGGCACAGGGAGCTGGTTCAGGGTGGAAGTGGGAAATAATGTGCCACCTGATACGAACAGAAGCTTCTGTGCTGACAGAGTTTCTGTTGGCACGATCTACAGTGCTGAAAATGGTGGTGTAACTGGCAGCAGAAGTCCTTACTACGGGTTGGGAAGATTTGCTAGTGCTTTGAAGCTGGCAGTGGCTTCCGTGGTGCAAGAGGTGCCTTAAGGGCACGGGGGAACATTTCTGGGACAGAACAAAGAACGTGCAAAGTCTGCAGCAGATGAGGTTTCTGCTTTCCACAGTCACATCCGACAGGCTGGAATTTGGTGGACTTGGAATAAAGTGCAAGCAGGACTAGTGAGAGAGGGTGAAGGGATTCTGTTCCGCACAATCCTGTGCCCAAGAGAAGAAGCCTGTAATGAGTTTTGATGAAACGACGATTGTAATAGCTTTTGCTTATGAGAACAAGGCTCTTGAATGTTGCGTTTCTGCGTGTAATATTCATTTAGGAGTCCACATTTTGAAAACTCCATGAGTTGTTCACTTCAATACGTGAAAATATGTGGGGGGATTTTGTTGTCTGGGTTTTGGGGTGGTTTTTTGTTTCCTCTTTTTTTGGCGGGTGTAAATTGGATTGAGGAGGGTTTTGGCACGTACAGAACAGATGTGGAGCTAGAATGGCTTTGTGACCCCAGGCTGTTATTTTAATGAACAAGCTGCTTGTGCTCTTTCTGGTTTGTTCCTACTGTCGGCTGGAAGGGGCTCAATTTTAAAGCAGAGGTATGGCTTGAGTACTTCCTTCTAAAGCTCTCACTCTTCCAGGTTTCTTAGTGACCTCTGTTCTTGTTTTTTCCCTCGTTCTACTTCCTGCCTTTGTGTCTTCCAGGAAACAACAGCAGAATCAAGACAGCAGCCAAACTCCCCACAGCTCTGACTCTCTCTGGGTTGGTGGAAGTGAAGGAGGTACGTATGTACTAACTGCTCCCAGAAACTCCCTCGTGCCGTTCCCTTGGAACCCCAATGGCGATTCCTGGGGACTTGCTGGGTGACGAGGTGTTTAGCTACCCTAGTTTACTGTAAATGCGCATGGACACTGCCTGCCACAAACTTCAGTTACTGCGAAGGGAGTGTTTTTCCTGAGGACTGAAAATACCCATTGTCTGTATTCACTGGAATGCTGAACTGGGTGCTGGAGTAAGGGGTTCTGCGTGAGGTTAACCTGAAATCTTACACTGCAGCTGCAAAAGGAAGCGTTGACCCCAGAGGAGGCCCAGTCTGTCCGAGAGTATTTGAGCTACCAAGGCAATGACCTTCTCATCGTTCAGATAGAAGGCAGGAAGCCCAATTTCGAAGTGGGATCCTCAAGTCAGCTCAGACTTTCCTTTGCCAAAAACCCTGGTCCTTCAGGTAAGGAGTGGTGCGTGCTAAATGTCTGGATTGCCTGCCTGTCGGGTGACAAGTGTCCCTTGGGGTCGGGAGTGTGACAGTAACAACCTGTGACTTGGGGCTTTCCAGAGTTGTTTGAACTCTGTTTGTCAGGAGTAGATGGGGCAAAGGCTGGAGTAACTACTGTTTCTTCCTTTGTTTTGGCTCCAGGAAAACCCTCTGTGGACCCAGCCACTGCCAAGCTGTGGACACTCTCTGCCAATGACATGGATGATGAAGAGATGGTATCTGGTTTTATTTGTGAGGCTTTGCTGTTGTTCCTTTGCTCTCCTCTTCTTTCCTACTCTAAATAGTTTCAGTCATGCCTCTTGGGAAGCTTTACAACTTCAGAGGTAGAAAAGCATCCCTAGGGTAAACCACCTCATCTATTATGTGTGAGGTCTTGAGAGCCCAGAGGTGTGGTGGGGGTGGAGAGGAGAGGTGGATAGAAGGGCGCAGAAGCAGCACTTCAACGCCAGTGCTACAGATAGCTCCATTTCTCTGAACATAACACAGCAGTCTTATTCCCTACTGACAAATCGGTGTCCTGCGTGTTATCTCCCATGGTATGTTTTCAGGATCTTTTGGACTCTGACGAGCTGTTGGATTCAGAGGATTTGAAAAAGCCAGATCCATCGTCCCTCAGAGGTCCATCCTGCAAAGAAATGGGCAAGAAGAAAGCCTGCAAGAACTGGTCAGTGCTGGGATTAGCATGGCAGTGAACCTTATAACTGTACCATCAAACGCTTACAGTTGGATGGATTTTAAAAGGATTGTAGACACTTTGCTGTTCGTCAGAGCGTAATTCTCTTGGTTCATGTCCTATTTTAACTGTTTGAATGTAAACCCAAATACGTTGAGAATTGACTAGCTGCACCAAAACTGCTACAAATTACTGCACTGCTGTGATCAACAGTCTTCCAGAAGGTGGAGGCAGTTTGTGCAGCCTTGGCTAAAACCCTGGTTTCTCAGATTTCAAGGAGAAACACCACACGTAAGTGGTGTAGAGTCATTTCCCACTCGGTTTAGACTTGAGGAGCGTGTTTCAACACTTGCAACACCACGGTTTGTATAGCAGAGCGAAGTGAAGAGTGTGAAGGTCCCGGAGTCAGCTGTGTCGTGTGCCAGAGCAGGGGCTGTTGTGTGTGGGTAGGGCTGGGGTGAGTGTTGGTGACTTGCAACCTCTAAGCAGAAAGATGCAGGTGACTTCTTTGTTTTTCTACAGCACATGTGGCCTGGCTGAAGAGCTGGAACAGGAGAAGAAGAGCTCACAGCCCAAATCTGCCTGTGGAAACGTAAATAGTAATTTTTGTTTCTATACTGTGGTTTGTGGTACGCTATTTGTGTCCCAAGAGCTGTGTTCTGTAGTGACTGCTCCCTGAGCTGGCTTACTGCTTCCAAACACCGCTTGTGCCGCTTCTGCAGAGCCTGTAGCCTTGCGCCCGCACGCTCCGTACCGGTGCATGCTGTCTGTTCCGGCACACGTCCCACCCTTGCAGGGGTCGGAGCGAGTGGCGAGCTTTCACCTCCCTGCTGGTGTGCTGACTGGTGGTCTGCTCAGGGAGGGTCACCTCAGGGGGGCCCGGGGGACCTGCTGGTGGGTAGGGGCTGCCCAGGCCCAGCTTGCAGGCATGCCCGCGTGCACTGGCTGGGTGGAAACTTGCTGCTTCGGGTGAGCACAGTGCCCGGCGCGGCTCTGCGAACACGCTAACCAGGCATGTTGAGAGGAGGAAGGAGGGAAGCGCTTCCTGCGGGAAGATGACACGTGCTGAGGAGCGTGTCATCTCTTCAGCTGGGAAAACCATACCGCAAGGGGAGAGAACTGAAAGTTGCCCCTGATGACAGAAGGTGCTTTTCTTTCTCCTGCCAGTGCTACCTGGGGGATGCGTTCCGCTGTGCCAGCTGCCCTTACCTGGGGATGCCCGCCTTCAAGCCTGGGGAGAAGATTCTCCTGAAAGAGAACCAGCTACATGATGCCTAACAAAGATGTCCTTGGATGTCCTGTGAAGGACTCCTCCGCTTTGCTGTCGGTCTGAGGTTCTTCCTGCAGCCCTCCTCATCCTCTCAACTCATGCTCTCTGGCCAGTGCTCCTCGGTGGCGGGGGACACACACCGCGGGCACTGACACTGCCATCAGCTCATCACTGGTAACCAACCTTGGGCTGCCTGATCATCTTTGGTAACAAGTGGTCTATGTGTTAGGCTTCATGTTACGCCTTGTTTTAGCCAGCTTGTGTCGATACTGGGACACTGGGCATCGCAGCCTGTCCCACCGGCAGAGGGAAGTCAAATCAAGCCTCAGGCTGAGCTCATGTGCTACGGCAGGGCCGGTGCTTCCCCCGGCCCGTGTCTACAACTCTAATCTTCCCTGATTTTCCCCAAAGAATCAGCAGCTCTGGCTCAGCTTGCAGGGTAACGCTTTGAAATTTGAACCTGCGGTTCCTTACTGCTGGAGGTGGCTCCACAGCTCCTGCTGGAAGTCAGGAGCAGCCAGTACGCTTAGCAGTGTGTACCCTTAGCAGCGTGCGTGAACTCCTTGGTAAAGTCTGGCAGGCAGGACGGATTTCCAAGCGTTTTTGGAGCCAGCCCATGATGTCTCCATCCGTGTGACAAAAATTCAGTCCCACTGAGAAAAATCCTGCGCTGGAGGGAAGGAGCAGATTAAATGAGATTGGTCTTGTCCCCCCACACCTTTCTGTCCAGCGTGAACCGATAACACGAGGGCGGTCTGAGACTGTCGCCTCTCTTGGTGGTTACCAGGTGAGTTACCCGCAGTGTCCAGTAAGTAAGAACGTAGCAATAATTTAATTTCTAGATGATCTGTGGTCACCCTCTGCTCCCGCTCCACAAGATACTGACTACTCTTTATTTATTCATGTAATTACTGCTAGTGAAGCATCCGCGCAGGTGCGGGCTGAGGGAGCTGTTCACATTCTGTGCCAGGCTTGCTCCTCGCCCGAGTAGAGAGAGGAGGAAAGCCCAAAGCCAGCGTCTCAATGGGGGTTGCTTTGTTTGGAGCTCTTGCTCCACAGGCTGTGACTGGTTGTTGTTGTGCTGCCTGAGTTACAGAGGGAGCTGGGATCAAAGGCTGTTCTGTTCTTGAAATAAAAGTGACCAATAGTAAAGCATTTGTTTTAAGACTCATACTAGTGGTGTTCTAAGCGCGTCTCTCCCTTTACTCAGTCTCTCCGTGATTGCTGGAACCGTTTAAATGTTGCATCTTGGAGTTCTCCATAAAGTGTTCCCCTGGCATGACTCGAATACGTGATGCTCACTGGAAAGAACAGAGTCAAGCTGCCTAGATTAGCTTTTTAATTCGGTCTAGATGTCAGGGAGAGGGTTTCTCCTGGTTGAGGGAGACTTGCAGGGAGAGACGGGACGGAGTCCTCGAGGCGTGCAAAGCACCCTGTGTGGATCAGGGGCAGGTGCTGTGGTGTGAGCTCGGTGCTGCTCACTACTTACTGGGAGCCAGAGGGGAATGGGAGGGACTGGCGGCCACGGAGAGCCCTCCCTCTGGCCAGAGCACGGCTTTCCCAGCGCCCTTCCTCACCCTCCTCCTGCCTCTGTCTTTGGCGAGAACAACTCCCAAGGAGACACAAGTCTTGTGATAAACCTCCTGTCCAACAAACCTGTTAGCACTCACGTCTTGTGATCTGAAGAAGCAGGTAGAAGCCTTTGCACACCCATGACCTTTTGGCTCTTGATTGCCTTTTTTTCAGCCTCAGGGTAGCGGAAGATCAGATCTCTGCATAAGGCCCCCTGATAAAGGCAGCCCTTAACCCGAACTCTGCTTTCCTTTCAGGAGTAAGTAAGATAAGAGGGAGGAGGCAGCAGCGGGAGCTTTTGTTTTACAGTGATTCACTCAACTGGAATTTCAACAAGCTGGAAACACTTTCTGATGCTGCTGAGTTCAGTTAATGATGGTTAATGCCATAAATTGATCTTGTTCTCTTTAAAAAGTGTTACTTGTGCCAGAGGCCCTCAAAGAGTGACATTTTGGCGGTGGAGCATCAGCTGGGTGGGAGTACGCTCCGATCAGGCTGGGTTTGAGGAGCATTTATCCTTTTAGCCCACTTCCCTGTCTGCCGCAGCCTCCGGCCGCCCTGCCTGCCCTCCCTCCTGGCTCCAGCCTCATGCCACTGCCCACCCCGCTCCTGGGAGGTGGCACTTGTCCCCGGGCGTGAGCAGGCTGAGGCCGTGCCTGGAACCGAACGGAATGCCGTATTTCAGTTGGAAGGGACCTACAACGGGCTTCTGGTCCAGCTGCCCGACCGATTCGGGGCTGACCCAGAGTTAAAGCGTGTTATTATGGGCATTGTCCAAATGTCTTTTAAACACAGCCAGGCTTGGGGCATTGGCCGCCTCTGCGGGGAGACTCTTCCAGGGTTTGGCCACCCTCTCAGTGAAGAAATGCTTCCTAACGCCCAGCCTGAACCCCGCCGGCGCAGCCTTGAGCCATTCCCACGCGTTCTGTCCCCGGATCCCGGGGAGATCTGCACTGCCCTCCCTTGCAGCTGGCACGCTGGGGAGGGGGCCGAGAGGGCGAGCTGCAGGAGGGTTAGGCGAGCTCGGCAGGCACGGTGCGGGTCCTGGTGTGCTGACGTGCCAGCTCTGCGACGGGGCACCTCTGCGGGGGTCTCTGGCCAACGCTTCAAACGTGCCCTGCAGCAGACTTGAGTCGCTGTCACGTCAGCCATTTTCAGCGAGGCTTCTCTGATTGTTCTTCCAGTAGCTGACCTGTGTCCAAGGTGATGCAGGTCCTGAGTGAACTGGGGTGTAAACAGTAGGAGCTATGGGGGACCGGGAGAGGCCCTGGTGCAGGAGGATGGATGGATGTGCCTCTCCCACCCGGTTTGCTCCGGACAGGCTGTTTCCCCTCTCCAGCTATGTCCAAAGACTTTTTTTTTTTTGCCGGCTTTTCTGCTCTGCTGTCTCCCTCCAGCGCCTGCGCCTGCTCAGGGTCGCCAGGTCCTCGACCCTCTGCTCTGCAGACTCCAGCACAGAGCAAAGCCCTGTGCCATCAGCTTCTCCTCCCAGCACCGCTGGAACTGGGCCTGGTAAGCAGCATCTTGGGGACATACAAATAGCATAATTTGCAAAAAGAGGGGATTAAAATAATGGGGGAGGCTCTTCCAACCCTCTCCAGCAATAAAACTGAAACAGAGCAAATTGCCCTTTCCCCAGGGGGCTGCGAGATGCAGCCCTTTGTGCCGTGGGCCAAGCGCCCGGCCAAGCACTGCGTCATGGAGCTGGGAGTCCCTTCCCTGTGTTCCTCTTGACAAAGGAGATCAGCAGCATTTTTCACCCTTCTCCTCCTGCCTCTCTTAACACCCTTTGAACATCCCTTCCTACCCTGGAGCCTGTTTGGGAGATGCTTTATGGAGCCATTCATGGAGAAACAGCTCAGTGCATCTACCCCTACCTCCATACTCGCAGCCCGGGATATCCCCTCGCACAGCTTTGACTTGGGAAGGCATGAAGAGCCATGGCGTTTGGCACTGACTCCGCATGCGTGCCTGCTTTCCTCCCCTTGAATTTGAGATGATGCTTTTTCTCCTGCTGGGAAAAGCATGGCTGCGTTAGTGGCCTTCAGAGGCCCCTCGGTGCAAAGACCAGGGAGCTTTCCTCTGCGTCTTTGCACCTTGCTTTACATGGAGCTTAAATAAACACGATGCCTGCTGGTAACCTGCCTAGCTGGAGAAATTGGGTCTCCTGGATGAGAAGGAGATGCTCTGTGAGACGGGGAGGGACTCTGCTTGTGCCTGGCCCAGACATCTCTGAGCTTCAGAGGTGGTAAAGGCCGATGAACTTGTCAGCAGAAACACAATTAATCACCCCACAAATGAACTACTCTTTTTCCTCAGCCTTGAGCCGTTTTCCTCCCCCAGTGTCTTCCCCTGCTTCTGACTCTTCTGGTCTCTCCTCTCTTCTTCTCTTTCTCTGCTCTGCTTTCTTCTGCCTCTCTCTTTTCATTCTTCTTTCTCTAATTGTCTTCTGTTTTCTCTCTTCTCTTTGCTGGCCTCTCTCCTTCTCTTTCACGCCATGCAAGTATACTACAGTCCTCTCCACTGCCATTCTCGCCCATCCCCATCCTTTCCTGCTCCTCCTCTTCTTCTCCCTGGCTTGGTTTTCCCTTTTGCTCTTTCCAGGTTTTCTCGCTGTGACCCAGGTCCCATCCCTGCTCCTTCCCCCATGCATTC